TTTCGATTATGTCAAAAAGAATTTCCGATTCTGAAGATGCCAAAGGATCTACAAAGCGAAAGCATGTTTTGATGTGCATCAAACAAAAAGTGAAATTGCTGCAAAAAGTGGATAAAGGCATGAAAAAGTGACAGAGAGGTTAGTGAAAATGAAAAAATTTTGATTGTTAAGTTAGTTAGTATTCTCGGCAAAGCAATTACAGGACTTGAACAGCGGAACTTTGTAACTGAAGAAATTATGACTGTTTATAGAATTAAAGAGAAAGTATTAGCATAAGAAATGAAGCAACTTAAACAACTTACGCCCACCAGCGGCCGAGCGGTAAAGTCGCTGAACACTGGTAGTTCGGTCCGAGGTTCGAATCCCGCGAACGGGCTGGCTGCATGGGTGTTTTCGTGGTTTTCCCCATGTGTAACGTGTATACGAGTCAGTTTCCCTTAGAAAGTCCTCCACGAAGGCATCCCTTCCCTTAGGCAGATAGCCCTAGTGTGCTTTGTTGTAATTAAATACAACAACAACAACAATAAACAACTTACATTGAAAGAAATTTTTAATAAAATAAACAAATAGTAAGCACTTTTTTTTTTTTTTTTTTTTTTTTTTTTTTTTTTTTTGTAAATTTTGATACCTTTTAGATCATAATTGCTCTTCATTTCATAAATTATGGTTTCAAAATTTAATTGTATAATTTCCGCATGCCATCTTACCAGATTTAAACTGATGATCTATAATCCGGAATCGCTGAAGTTCCGACGAGTCCGGATTAAAGACTTTTGACTGTATATATATATATACATAATAAAACAGTAAACTACATGTTAAATCAAGCAATGAAATAACATAAAAAGGGAAATTCATCGTAGCACTACACAAAGGAAATATCCACTTACCTTATTTATGAATTTAAGGGTCTTCAGTCAAACAAAATTCCTTAACAGCATCCAGAAACTTCTTAAAATTGTCTGAAGTAGAATCGTATACTGACGTCGCCACATAAATTCGCAGAAGTAAAGAGTCAAAAATATCCTCCGTAGTGCTGATATCGTCTGACTTTCAACCATACGCATTTCCTTCCTACAAACAGGGTACTTAATAATGGCTACTAAGTAAACCTTCATACCACATTCAGCCATTTTACCGTGTAAACTGCAAAATAACAATGTATCGAAAATCCAATGGACACTTTCTGTATCTTTCACCATGATTCAAATTGACTGCAATCATGCAACTAATTACGTCATAATAGGGTTTCCATAACATTCAACTACTCAGGTTACCATAAATGAAACAACTTGGATATAATCCAAGAGGCACCCATAAATCTACTCTAACCAAATTTCTTATTCTTAGAAAATATGCTTAAAGAGAAGGAAATAGATATAAATTAGGCAAAATGTCTGGCCATGTAAATCCATAATGACTAAGGTTATCAAACTACCTAATTTAATTATTTATAGCTAACTGCTTACCCTTAAAAATTATCTCTGTGTATTATTGTTTTTCATTAATCCTTACTGTAGTCAGAAGATAAAACACAAAAATGTAAAAATTATTTATCACCTCTGGTGCTTTAATGGCTTATTGGAACCTTAATGTATCTTAAATGGGTTACAACCCTTGGAACTTAACACGAAGCTATGACACTAATTGTATTAGACAGACTCCCAACTAACTTTCAAAACTTGTCCAAACGTGCCTACATCAGGCCTTTCAGGTTTGTTCTAATCAGCAGGTCTCTCTAGGCAAGCAGCAGCGGTGACAGCATCCAGTCTTTTGTTATGAATCATGCTGATTATGATTTTACTTCTCATCTTAATCTATGCTGCTTGACATAAAAATTTACTTACTATTTACTAAACTTCTAGATTGAGCAAGTATGTGACAAAATGAGATGAAAAAGTCAACATATAGTGAACTGTTAGTAAAACGTAAATAAAATGACACTTATCTTCTTTCAAATATGTCCAACTATTATAAGTGTAATTATTTAATTCTACTTGATAAATTTCATAAAGTTTATTTTATTCTCAAGCATATTAATAATTAATGCTAATTAATTCATATTTAATAATAATGCATCCTACATACGAATCAATTTTAATTTAGTTCATTCATAGATAATACAGTCAAAAGTCGTTAATCCGGACTCGTCGGGACTTCGATTCCGGATTATTGATTTTTCCGTATTATAGATCATCAGTTTTAATCTGGTAAGATGGAATGCAGAAATTACAAAATTAAAAATATGGAACCGTAATTTATGAAATAAAGAACAGTTATAATCTAAAGGGTATCAAAATTTACAAAAAGAAAAAGCTAAGTATTTATTTGTTTACTTTATTAAACATTTCTTTCAATGTAAGTTGTTTAAGTTGCTTCGTTTCATGTGATAATACTTTCTCTTTAATTCTATTAAACAGACATAATTTCTTGTTTAGTTACAAAGTTCTGCTCTTCAAGTCCTATAATTGCTGTGTCAAGAATACCGACTAATTTGTCAATCGAAATTTTTTCGTTTTCAATAACCTCTGTGTCACTTTCTTCACTATCGGAAGTGAATTATAATAACGAGGAACTTGATTTAAATCATATCAAAGACAGAGTACATCGAGATGAAATACTACATTTAGTAAGGAATTTTAAGCCAAGTAAAATAAAAACATCTGCTCTGAAGATAAGGATAGTGCTGACAGATCAACTTCCAATTCATTGAGTGCCATGGCGTTTCACCCCCCCCCTCCCCCACCGCCGCAGAGCAGCGTGAAATTGATAAACAGATTTCGAAACATACTTTCGCTTAGTAGATCCTTTACATATTAGTAAATATATATCCAAAATTCTATTTGACATAATCGAAAGTTCAAGCTTACTTTTATAAAATTGCTCTAACTGTCTGCAAAAAATAATAAGCCGGATCCAATTCGAAGATTAAGGAACAACGCAATCTGCAACATTAACTGAATTAGATAATTTTAGCTTAGCTTATACCGTCCATTATGCATTAAACGCGCATGTGTAAACATATTATGTGCATGTGTACACGCATATTCGCAGCCGTAAAGGTCTTACGCGCACACGTAAACGCCTATGCGCATGCGTCGTAATGCGCAGAAAGTTCGTAGCTTTGAGGTCCGGATTATAGGTGTCCGAATTAATGACTTTTTACTGTATTTTTATTTGAATTTATTCAGCTCTCATTTGCTTATAAAGTCCTTAATTTTTTTCATTAATGGTCCGTAAAAGTACTTAATTTCCGTGTGCAGAAATGTGTACGAACCCTGTAAAATGAATTTTCGAGGCTTAATTACATACATTTCTTAAAACGCAAATTTATTTTATTTAAAAATTTCTAATGTGAAGTACTTTTTTACTATTTTTTTAATGCTTATTTGAAGAATTTCAAAGATTAGAGAAGCTTTCAGAATTCAGGTTTTAGAAAATTTAGGGTTTTATTTTGACCGATACATGTTAAAATTGCGCGTGTTCGAAAGACTATTCAATTTAACATGATTTCAGATTTATCTTTAGCACATTGCAACGCCAGTGGGTGTAGATCCTTTAAAAGATAACGTATAAGCTGCAACAATGCAAAGTTAATGATGCAGTCTGAATGAAATCTGTAGCCAGAGTCAGCTTCATCATGAAAATTGTGGGTAGGAGAGTAGAAGGTACTGATGTATTAATGCAACCATCTTGGCTCAGTTTGCCAATTTTTTACAGAAGAGATAGCTGATTTGGTGAATTTTTGGATTGCAACTTGCAGTAGATATGGTTTACCTAAAGAACTTTTATGTGGATGGTTCCCAAAATTTGGTGACTTCTAATGAGGTTTTCGTCATAATACTTAAATGCTGAATAAAAATGGTTATTTAAGAGCTAAATTTAACTAAATGATTGAATAAATGGGATGATCATTCGTGTGAAGAAAGATTCACACCCATCTCCAGTCATAATTTCTTATAGATGATGTGTTTCAGACAGATGTCTGAATTATTAAACATAGACATGATTTACTATGAAAGATTTAACATAAAATATTGCTCACATCTATATAGCAGGAAGTAGTTGGGATTTCAACGTTTCACTACAATATAAAAAATCTAATCCAGGTCACATGGGAGATCGGATGCTGATGCTATGCGTATTGTTACGGATTTGGTATTTAAATAGCTAATGTTGGTAGAATTATAAATTAAATTGTTTTATTTTCCATGCAGTGCAGCGCGTGACGAATATTCAAGAAAAGCTAAGCCAGAAAGTTAAAAATACAAGAGCGTGTGCATTTAACATTTAATAAATCAATATCTCTTTTTGATTTCAAGAAAGTTCCAGAAATTTCTCTCGCAAGATTTAAAATCTTATAAAAGGAGAAAAACCTCTCAATTCGGAGTTAGTGATTAGTTAGTTTGTTGTTGTTTAGAAAACTGCTCTTGTTGACTGTAGCGAATTCGTGGATTAGTTTTCTATAGCTGTTTTGAATTAAGTTCTCTTGAACATTTGAGTAGTTAAAAGATAACTGCTGTGAGATATTGTAATACTGCATGAATATTTTAGGAAATTGAAGCATTTTTCTTGTGATAATAATAAATTTGTTCGTTTTTCATCGGACTTGTGCATTTAATTCAAACGAACCCGTACGCACGCAACAGTATTATTCTGGAATTTATAGAAAAATTATCTAACTGTGCCAGTATCAATTATGTATCCCAAGAAATTTTTAAATGCAGACTGTTTGTAAATATGCTTTATATTAATAAATAATGAGTATATCGTATGAAATACTTATTGTGCTAATTTCTCTTCATTCTAAGTATTTGCAGTACAGAGACTTGTGTTTGCATATTTTCCACATTGAAAATTTTTTTAAATATGTTTTAAAGAATTTAATCAATTTTTAGTAACATGAAAAAAGGTGTAGTATGCATTGTTTTGAAAAGTTAAGAATTTTAATAATTTAAAAAAAATAATCTTTTTATGATGCTGATTGCATTTTATTATAGGTTGGTGATACCAGTATTAGGTCTATTGTTGGATTGATATTAAATGATGAAGATAACAAAGTCACTGAAGAGGCAAAGCAAATGATTTTGGCTAAAGGTTTCCAAATTACAAAGTTTCCAAGTGTTGAATATGTAGTGTATGCTGATTTTCCTCATACAAATTTCCTCTCTGTCTTGATTGCTGTACACAGAGTTATTCCAGCCTTTAGAGAATATATCCAGGTATATATCAATATTATTTATATAAAGGAATTCGTTTAAATTATGTATTATGTAATTCTTGCAGTGAAATTAATATTGTTCTTATAATAGATAGTGTTTCAGAATTTGAGGAAAAATAATTAGAATTATTTACACATATAAATTGTTATTAACAGCATTTTCTATCAAGATATCAGCATTTTATATTTTTATTAAATGTGCTTTTAATATTGCTTATTGTATATACTTTGAGAATCATAGCAAACATTGATGAGAATTAACTAGTATCAAAACTTGAGTATAAATATAATTTGTTGATCAAATTTATTACATTGTGTTTTTAATATACTTGAGTATAAAAAATAATTATCTAAAAAAATAGAGGATGGACCCCCCACTGCCAAAATGAAAGAAAAGAAATTACTCTTGTGTAAAAGATTACTGTTAAATAATGAAAAACAAATTGCATTCTAGAGGAGCAAGTGCACTCTTGATATATAATATTGATTTCAGATGGATACGGTTAATTATTGAAATTGATGTTGATATCTAATTTCACAAATTCATGCTCTTTAATTATTTGAATGTTGGCCATTTTAATTTTAAAATGCAAATAAACTTTTGTTTCTTATTTTCATTTAACTTTTTCTAAGTATATTCGATTCCTTGCAGTAACCACAGTGTGAAATTGTTTGTCCAACTGATGCTCAGCATTAAAACATAGACTCTCTGAGCTTATAAATATTATTGCAGTTATTACGCATTTCTTTAAGCCTTCGAGCTGGCAATGTTTCTCTCAGCCTGTGCTAGCTATTCTCGATTGGTTAAGATATACCGTCTTTTTCTGAAAATAAGCCCTATTGTGATTTTCGGAACTTTTTGTAAAATAAGACATCCCCCGAAAATAATCCCTAGTTAAAATAATGTGACAAAAAGAATTCGTTAAAAAATGCTGTTGATTTATTAAGTAATAATATGTTTAGCTTTCCTAATACTCATATTTCAGAGAAATGTTTGAAACAAAATATTCCGAGAAATTGATTGTTTACCTCTACAGTTCGTTTCAAATTAGTTCTTGGAATTTATCTTAACCAGTTCACTGTTTGCCCCGAGAGAGATACGTTCACAGGTAAGGCATCGTCATCCATTAGCGTCGGCAGACTCTCGTCGGGGTGAAATTTGGGCTGAACCGTAATCGCTGAGACACATACGACGCAGCGACCTTTTCCCAACCCCCACAGAATGAGTCGAAAATCAAAAGGGGTGATTGATGGGTTACTTATCTTCTCAGCGGTGTTGCATTAGGATCACAGCGGGGCTGTTTCAGGAAAGTAAAGGATGGGGACACTTTCTTCGAATAGCTACCCCCTTAACATATCTTATAAGATCCACAACAGCTTTCTCCCTTTCTATTAACGAACAAAGGGATTTGAATGCTATCTTTTCAATTCTTAACGATTCAATTCTTCTCTTTTGTTACAGGCCATCAAGAAAATAATAAAACAAAATTCAAGGACATTTCAAATACTAGCTAATGCCCTTATTTTTACTTTATATAAAGCTTTTTCTTGACAATTAAAAATTACATTTACATTGTAATAGATTGCAATAGATTTGGGGTTGGGTGCAGGAAGTGGAAGTGAGGTTGGGTGCAAAGCGAAAAATATCTGCTCTAAGGACTACACCAGTCTTTGTGTTTTATGTTGCCCCTTAGGGGGTCGTTATTCACCATTCTTCGCCCCTTAGGGGGTCGTTATTCACCGTTTTTCAGTGTGACAGGTATGCTGTTCAATCTGATTTGAACAGAACTTCTAAATAGGCTTTCACAGGTAGTGAAAGGGGGAAAGAAATACTCTGAGCCCAGTTTAGGCACAAAAAGTTTACCTTTGGATGCGAAAAATGGCATGAAATGTTTGTGATTTTCCTAACGGCGAACTGGTTAAAAATACAACATAAGGCAGCAGTCTACATTGAGCGACAGTGCAGGTATGCAACGTTCATTCATTTCAGTCTTGTGAGTCTGATTATTTCCTCATACGTAATTTTATTTTAAAAATAAAGTGAATAATTTTTAACCCCAGTTAAAATGAGTACAAAACGAAAGAGCTATTCCGTCGAGTACAAAAAGGGAATCGTGGAAGACTCCAGGGGTGTAAATCTTGTAGCATTCTGTAAAGAGAAGATGCTGGATCTCCATATGGTTTCAAAATGGCGTGCAGACTACGATTACCTGTGTCAACTGGTGGACCAAGGAAATGAGAAAAAACACAGAGTTGGATCAGGTCAGCAGCCGTTATTTTCTGAGTTGGAAGATTGCATCTGGGAATGGATTGCAGGCAGGAGAGCAATGGCTTTGGTTGTACATTTGAAACAGCAATTGAATTTGATATATCCACAGAAGAATTTAAAGCATCGTCACACTGGTTGGACAACTTCCTTAAACGATATGAACTGTCTCTAAGGAGATCAACAACATTGTTTAAGCTGGAAGACAATGAAGTTGTTAAGCATGCACTTGCATTTAAACTTTTTGTTGATGGCATCGATTTTTCGAAATACTAACTCTCCAACATGATTGCTATGGATGAGACCGCGGTATTCCTAGGCCAAGGAGCTCAAACGACAGTTCACCACAAGGCTTCTTCGTCAATTTACGTTCCTTCTACCGGTTACGATAGTGCACGTGTTACCTGTATTTTGGCGATTCGTCTAGATGGCAAGAAAGTATCGCCATTTTTAATCACTAAAGGTAAAAAAGACCAGATTCAACGTGTTTCAGGAATTTATGTCATTGAAAGTGAAAAAGCCTGGTGCACCCAAGCAGTTATAAGAAAGTGGGTTGATTTTATGCTGCCACCACTGTTGAGGGGTCAGAATAGAGGTTTACTAGTTTGGGATTCAGCCAGTACTCACCGCGCTAAAGACATGAAAAACTTTCTTGCTGAGAGGAAGATTGATCAAATAATGATTCCGGCATAAATGACTGGTTACCTCCAGACACTTGACATTGCAATAAACAAGCCATTCAAGGATCATTTGCGGATGGAAATCAATGAATATATTGAAAACAGAATGGTGAGAAATCATCGAGGTAATTTTGTAAAACCAGGCTTACAAGAAGTTGTGAATTGGGTAAAAAATTCATGGGACAAAATAACTGATAGTGATGTTTCCAATGCACTATGAACAGGCTACTTAGACAAGAAGTATTCATTTAACGATAGCTATATCGCAAGACATGAGAGATTCGGACCAATGATTCAACAGGAAATGGATTTGGAAGAAAATCAGAATATAATTCAGAATTTTATTTATGACGATGTTCCAGAAGAAGATGACATGACTGTAATTGAATAAATTTAAATTTCTGTATTCTGTGTAAAATAAATATTAAATAAAAATATATAAATATACTTTTATTTTTGCCCTTCCCCGAAAATAAGCCCTAGCGCGTATTTTGGACCAAAAAAGAAAGTAAGACAGTGTCTTATTTTCGGAAAAAGACGGTAATTGCATATCTAAAATTGTGAGAGGGGCTTAACAAAACTGGTGTTTTACCTATTAAGAAGATATGTGCTAAGAAATTCATCATAAAAAAATTAATTATGTTTAACTACCAAGCTGGTTCAGGCTTCTTCCAAAATTCCATCCAGTCATCCACTACACTTAATTTCCGGTAATCTACACAGTAATTTATTTATTTTTGCCATGATTAAAAAGGTAATTTGGTGCATTCCTTAATCAAGGTCTACTAATATTAAGTTATCTACAGCAAAATATATCACATATATGTATTTCTAAAATTTTAGATCACACATGTAAGATAGGCATGGGTTTTTGGAAGGGTATTTTAAGAGAAAGGTATTAACTTACATTCAGGCTTATGGAAATGTTTTATCCAAAGAGACTGCAAAATTTTATTATGTACATAGACAAATTTTGGTACTTTTCCGTTTTGCCGGCGCAAGCGATTAAGTCGTCAATAATGGTACAACCGATGCCAAACGGAATATTCTCGCTGGTAACCTTTTAAGCCTCATTTTCAAAACAAGTCGCAGCTTTTTCTTATCAGATTGATTGTTTCTTTCAATACTGGCATATAATTACATAGAATTTTTATCAGATAGTTCAGTTTTATGCCTAAGGCCATTTTCGGTGATTAAGTCAATCAGGATGCAATCACAGCGCTTAACCTGAAGCCGAAAATATAGAAAAGGTAAAGTCAAGGGTTAAATTCATCAATTCTAACGAGAATGCATTAGCGAAGTAAAGCACTGCAGTTTACATAATTTCTGAGTAAGCGATTCGTACGAATTGAAATATTTCTTGCATTTAAACTTGTGTTCGAAATTAAGATTTAACTTGAAATTAATGTAGATAATTACTGAGAGCATTAGATTTTTGTAGAGTAGTTTACGTGAGATGAGATCGCTTGGGGTCATGTGATATAAACCGGCGAATCAGGATGTTGAACCATGAAAGCATAGTAAATTCTTAAATTAATGTCTTTTTACAAATTTATTGTCTTTATTTATTGGCTTTTTATAAAATTTTAAGCAATATTAAAATGTCTATGCCTTCTTTTTTTTTAAAAGAATTCTTAGAACTAACATTTTTTTAAATATTTTTTATGTGTATACTCTATGTTGTCGCCATTAAAGTCTGCTTGGCGAGATTTGCGCCAGCGAAATGTAAAAGTACCCAAATTTTTAATAAAATTACCAATGAATATATATCATTGAATGATATCTGATGTACAATCGTTTGGCAATTGAAAATTTAATATTTGAGAATTCATGAAAAATTCATATAAGTAACTGCAAATTTGGAAAGTAATTCTCAACTTATTGGCATTAGTATTGCATTAAATAATAACAATAAATACCATAGAATTGTTGAACAGAAGAAAAAATATTTTTCATGTAATTCTATAATAGTGGTGTCCTCTGTTACCCATAAAATAAGCACTAAATTGTTAATACAAATTGTATAGTATTCTAATATTGAGTATTGTATACATCAGCATTTCTTAAACTGTGGGTCATGGGACGTGCAGCAGGGGGTTCCCAAAAAGTTTAGCAGTTTTGATATTTCTTTAACTTATAATAATTTCACGATTACCAAATATTTTTACACAATGTATCTGAAAATAGGTAAGGATAAGACAATACAGACAAAGAAAAAAGGAAAACATTTCGATGTGTTCTTTTTATAATAGAAACGTTCATTTTACTTGCTTTGCACATGTTGCTGTAATTTCATCTGTTACTTATTTAAAATTTTCATTGTTCTATGTCTTAAAACTAGAAATTAAAGTTAATGACCTAAAACTGCACTAGTATATTACAGTGCAAGTGAAAAAAATTGACAGTTTCACACATGCATGGGTCGGATTTGCGCAATGCTTATGGGGGTCGTTTCATAAATATTATGGGGTCCTGGGGGTCACGAAAGAATCTCGGTGACAAAAAGGGGTCAAGACTGAAAAAAGTTTTAAAAACCCTGGTATACAGGATCAGTAAGGTGTGTTTGGGGCTTTACTTTGATTTTTAAATTTGTTCAGTCATATTTTGTAACATATGCAAGGCATAATTTGGGAAGGGAGAATGTTAAGTTTATTTACTTTTGTTTCCTAAATTTGTGTAGCTAAGGAGCGAAAATTGGAGCTGCACAATTGTAATTATTTGCTTACTGTTGCTTACAGTTCTACAAAGCAGAATTCCATTAATTCATGTTTTGCAATCAATGATTTATGATCTGTTTAAAGACATTTTATCAAAGTTTGTAAAACCAGTCTGTGTTTTGTCTTGTAATTTTATATATGATGTGATTTATGGTGAAATAGAAAATCAGAAGAAAGATGAAGATTTGGTATTAGCACGAAACAACTACGAAAGTAGTGGAAGAACTTTCAGAAGAAGGCAAAAATAAGTTTTATCTTCATGTTAGAAGTTACTGTCGAGTATGTGATTACATACTACATAAATTTCCAGTCAGATGAAGTGATTTTGCATGCTAAAGTTGCTGATGTTTCTTCTCTAGCAAATGCATATTTTTCTGATATAAGGTACTTTTTGAACAGATTTCCTGTGTTACTTCGTTTAGTCATGAAAGATGATGATATTGATGTTGCCACTTATAATAATGCAGTCGCAATTTTACAGTTTACAATTAGAAAACTTGGATGAAGTTATAAAATCAGCTAGGATTGACACCCAGTGGAGTTTAATTGGAAAACTGAAAGGTACTGATGGAATTTTAAAATGTAGTGAACTGTCTTAAAATATGTTAGGCCATCTTGACAGTTCTCCCATAGTAATGCTGAGTGTGAGAGGATTTTCAGTGTTGTTGCAAAAACGAGGACTAAATTTAGATCTGATATTAGTGATGACACATTAGAAAACTTTTATTAGCGAAAGCAGGCCTATGGAACAATTGCTATGAACAAAATTATGAAGTTTCTTAACGAAAGCAAAGTCTGCTACTGTTCATAACATTTGTACGAAAACTGATTAAAGTGTCTTTTTTTTTCTCTTAAACGATGCAAGTAACAATGTTTTTTATGTGTAAGGTATTTTTGTGTTGCTTGCATTTAAGAATTAGTAACTATTTAAAGTTAATACATTATTAAAAACTATATTTTTATCATTTAAAAGGTCTTTTTAACATTGTGAAAAATCTCCTGATTTCTTAAAAAATTCTCTTGATTTTTTAGCGTCATAGGTTAGCAAGTATGTAGTTACTAATTTAAGTGAGATAGTTAAGAAATTATATTTTCTTCCATGCTGTTCTTAAATAAATAAAAAATAATTACTGTAATGAACATTTATGTGAAGTAAGATTCATGATATGATTCTAAATCTATATATATGAAATACTGTCCCTTATTGTAGATAACATTGATTACTCAAAATTACATGAAGAACTGTTGACTTCATCAGTAACAGATTGTAGTATTGTCATATGGTTTCATCTTCTGATCAGATATTAAGATAAATCAGCTGTAAATCTTAAGTATAATACAATTTTTTTTATTATTACTTTAATATATATATATATATATAACTATTATTAACCTGTTCAGTACCGATGAAAGGAGAAAGAAGTACTTCTCCGGGCTCGAGCGCTCCAAAAGTATAGTATATGTACGAATGGGACCTGGCAGATTTCTCTGTTGAGCCTAATTTTATGTAAAATAAATATTGCAATTAAGTATACTGAAATTTATAGTTTATTGTCATTGATAGTAAATAAGTATACTGTAATGCAAATTTTGTGATATTTAAAAAACAGTTGCGAAGAAAATGCTTTCATTTTAACAAAAAATAGTTTTATATATATATATTAAAACATACATAAGGAAAACAATGGACACTTTATGCTTTGTCCAAACAATTTCATAAATATTACAAAGTGAACGGACTATTTGCATTTATAAAGTCCTATTAGTATCTATCCTTGCAAAAGAATCAAATACATGCATATTTAAGTTATTCTGATCCAAATATCTCAATAGAAAGTACATATTGAATGTTAGTGCTCTGGTAAACATTATTCAAAAATATAACATACTGCATCTACCATCTGTTGTTATTTAAAAACTGATATACATAAAATGTTCTGACTTGAAATAATACCAGTGTGATCATGAGCCTCAACTCAGAAAGGCTGGTCACATATATGATTCCATGGGCCATGAAAGGAGATTCGCGTGATCACGGTCATGAACAGGTTAATATAAGTAATTGAGTTTTTTATCTGCTTGTTTAAAATAATTTTGTATTATAGGAAAAGAAACTTCAGGCATATCCCTTAATTGAAATCTGTGATGGCCTGCTGATCACTTATGTAGCTCCACTATCCAAGCAGAGTGAATTCTTTGTATATGAAGCACTTGCAGAAAGTGAAGAAGAAGTAACATCTGAGAAAACAGTGGATGAAGCTGATGAGGCCTATGTGAAGGATTTAGAAGAGTTACCGGATACTATAAGCTCAGTTGATTCTCTCATAGAAGGTGGTTCCAAAGTGGAAGAATTACCATCTAATGAAGAAGTTCTTGACAGTTTAGAAGAGAAAAATAAGATTGCTGGAAATGGTTCAGAAGCCAGTACGGAATCATTTGAAGAACTACAGCTGGATTCATGAATTAAATTCTGATTGTGATTTATTATTGTGTGCATGAATTGCTTTCAAGGTCCATTTACTAGGCCTATGATTGATATTGCTGAAGTACTTCCTCTACTTCAATGTATTTGCACAACACATTTTCCATATGTGTGGACATAGTTTTCACTCAGTACTACTAGTATACTATATTGCAATGTATGATTTGCTATGAACTAAACCTGTGTTTCAAAAACATTAAGATATACAGTTGTGATGTTTCAGCAGTGCTTTTCTTTATTTTTAGTTTACGATTAACACTGTGTATGGTGATTCCCTTGCAGATACTTTTGAATGGACCATTTGTGTGGATGGGCTTGAAAAAAATACCTTAAATATTATGTGTAGTAATTTTTGAAGTTTTTCTTTTTTGTCAGTTATTAGGAAATGAAATGCAGTATCAAAAATTGTCCCCTCTTTGAATTTTAATATTTAATTTACTGATTTTCTGATTTAATTAAGGAGTAACATGTAGTAGTGCGTATAGAGTGGAGACATATTTTTAATGCAAAATGTATGATATTCATTAAATAATTATAGTGTATATAAATGGAAATAATTAAGTTTCTTTGCTTCAGTTGGGATATGAGCTTGGAACCTTGACCTGCTGATAAATGTTCTATAAAATTGACTAAAAGAATTTTCTTTTCCTTAAGTTTCTTTGTAATCTTAATATATATGTCGAAGTCCCTCTCCCTTTTTAATTCGGTGTAACATTTACCTTTTTCCAAATGATCAGTTAATACTGATGAGGTATCATGTTTTAAATGTATTTTAATGTGATCAAGTAAAGAAAATCATTAGCGAATTTATTTAATTTTTTTCTTTTGGAATATTTGTGAAGAAGCCTTTGAAATCATTACTGCATATATATATATATATACATAAATAAAAGCTTGGATTTCTCATGAGGTAACGTTACCTTTTTCGAGAGAGTGGAATTATAAAAATCCCCTTTCCCTTGAATGATCTTTAATTGTAGATGTGATAATTTCTTTTATTATTTTAATAATATGTGTAATTAATTGATAATACATTCAAATTTGCATCTGAGCATTTAGGAGACAGAGTAATTTATTGTAGTGCCAAATGTATCTAAAAATATTATAACTTGCTTTGTATTAATTTTTATCAAACTTTTTGTAATGAGAGTGTCTAAAAGTAAAGAACAATTAAGCTGTTATTGGAAATAATTTTCATATGTAATTTATAATGTTCACAAGTTAATTTACATTTAAAATTAATTAAAGAATGGATGTTTGCAGTATTTTTGGTATTTATTTACTGGGAATATCATGCTATATTTTATTATATTATATTTTTTGCATTAAAGACAAGTTAACTGTTCACTCTGAATAAAAATAAATAAGGAATAACCAATAAAAAATGTTTAACATGTGAATGCTATAAATAATTTATGTATAAATTATGTTCAGAATTGTAGTAAAACATTTTTCAGCAGATCAAGAGACATTTCATTTCTTGTCCTATAGAGTTTTTTTTTTTTTTTTTTTTTAATTCATTCATTTGCTCATTGTTACTCCATATCAAAGGTTAAAATTTATTGAGCTTTAAAATATGGATGTGTAAAATGTTTTAGTATAATTTCCAAACTATTGCATATGTAGGTCTTCTGCCATATTTTAATATATGAATTTTCTTTTGTTTACATTCATTTTTTTTATATTTAATTTTCTAAATAGAGTGTTGTTTTATGGTTCACCATACTCACCAATAATATGTAGCTTTCATCATGTAACTTTTGTTTGGATGCTAAACAATTTTTTATGTAGTTATGTATTATACACTATCATTGTTGTATTATGTAAAATGAAAGAACTGCATGCAAGTAGTGTTTTTACATCTTGGAGAAAAATGTAAAAAATATTAATTTTTATATTTTTTAAAGTTTAATTTTTGTTATTTGTTTATTGCCTGTGAATAAGCATTCATTTGCAATGGATGCTTTTGCTATAAAAGAACAATCATTTGTTTTAATTTTTTGTTGTATGAAATGTTTTTTTTTTTTTTTTTTTTTATAACATTTTACTCTTGCTTTAAACCATACAATTTTTAAAAGCGAATTTGGAAGGAACATGTATCAGCCATTATGTATTCTATACCAGACTAATAAATAAATAGAAATTTGAACATAATATTGAGTCATTCAGAATGTAATGCATGTTGAATGAATGTAATGCATGTTCAGGATTATTAAGTATTATACTATATAATTTGGGGTGCTCTTCTGTTATCAGGACCGGAATAAAAAATATATGTATCTATGCATATCTATATATGTGTATGCATGTATATATGTGTGTATACACATACATACCTAATATGTACATGCATACATGAACACATACATCCGTATATAAATGCATGCCTATACACATTTCTGAATTCGGTCCCAATAACAGAAGATTATTTAATTTTGTTGTCATTGTTTTATTTATTTTGATTTATTTAGAAGAGCAGCCACTTATGTTAAAAGGTACTAGTTTTTTAACTGCTTTTTTTTTCCTTCGTTCATTAATATCTGCATTTAAAGATTTCAAGTTATTGAATTATTTTTCTTTCAGTACTTTTATATAAAGCTAACAGTGGTGCTTTAGTAGTGCCATAGCTTATAAACGTGATATATTATTCCTTCACGTAAATTTAAATTTCTGCTGTTTGAACTATATTTTCATAAATTTCATTCCACTTAGAATAGATAAAACTTTTATGCAAGAATTTTTTTATTCATGTTTAAAGTTTTCTATTTTGTAATTATTTTAGTGTTGGAATAGTATATTTTTTAATTCTTGTTCTAAACACTGTTGTGTAGTTATTTGTGTATATTTAATAATAATGCATTAGGAGTTTTGTGATATTACCTTCTTAACTTTTTGCTGATGTATTCATTAAGAGGGCATGCCAGTCAGTATTTAAACTAATGCAAGACTCATGCTAAAATTAGAATAATATTTTATTTCTTTGATTTATCTGTAGTCTCGGTGTTTTCTGTAATTATTGTTAGATGGCTTGTGCCATAAACATTAATATTTGGAAGATTCATTTGGATGCATTTACTTTTATGAGTTTCCCTTGGCAGCTTGTTTTGAAACTTTAGGTGTTATATGAGGTTTGCTGAAATATCAATGTAATACATGACGAAAGTTCACAAATTTAATGCAGTATAAACTGCATTAAATTTTGTGTAATTATAAATCAAGCTTGTTTCAGTAAATGAAAATGTGTACTTGAAAATTCCTAAATAAGAGTATCATTTAAATCCAGGCTGCGTGAAATGCAAGTCTGATGAGATATTAAAGAATATAATATAATAATCAGCATAATATTATATTATGCTGATTATTATATTATATTCTTTCTGTATAGAATTGTATTTTATTTTTAATATAAACTGTTAAATGACTTTTTTGGAAGGGGGCGGGTTGCTGTTAAAAGTTTTTGCGTATTAATAGAAAGAAAATTTTGAAATATCTGAAAATTTCTGTAATGCTCCTTCCTGGTTTGTTAAATTTTGGGTTAATGTATAAAAGGAAATTCTTTAAGACTGAGTTTAGCATAGGAATTTTAAGATTTTGAAGAGCTGAAACAAGTTTAGCTTATATGCTATCTTGTTTTATCCATTTTCATATGTATTAGTGAAATTAATGCAATACATATAAATTTGGTTCATATTTCAAAACATTACTTGTATTAATGTCAAGGTATATTTTAACTGCTGGTTAATTAATGTAGCCTGTTTCAAATAGAAACATTTTATTTAATTAATCACTTATTCACATTTAAATATTTCCCAAATATGTATGTACTTAAACTGTGCATTTTTCTTGTTTTGTCATACATTTATTTATTATTTACTCTCTTGGCCAGTATTTGTAATAATATCTGTTTTAATCACATGGTAGTGCATTATTATTGTACATATAAAAATTTCAATTACAAAAAAAGTTGTGTGTAGACACATGTTGACAACTGAACAAATTCATTTTGTTAAATTATCTTCTAGTAAATGGTGGAAAAGGGGATTGCATGTCAAATAAGATTAGGTGAAAGAAAGTTTACAGATTAGCTGAGACTTTCTTATGTTCTTATATTGAGGATTGTATTTATGCCATTTGCTTGCTTAAATCTTAATAGAAGTGTATTACTCATTAACTATTGCTTACATTGCATAATAATTAATGAAAAAATGCTATGGATGGTAAAAATTGTTTTTAATTGTGATTTAATAAATTATCTAAATTAATTGTTGACATTTCGTGGGGGAAAATTCATGATCTGGGATTTTTTTTTTTTTTTTTTTTTTTTTTTTTTTTAAATGTGCTCTATTGTTAAGGAAGAATTTGTTATTACTTATCAGAAATCTAATTCCAAAAATCGAGAGCTTACTTTTTATACTGTTCCTCTGCAGTTGAATATTCTTTTTATTCCTGTTTATATAATTGTACTTAAAAATTATAATATAAAAATTTACCTTTGTCCATACATAAGTAAAGGTCTGCTATTAGTTTTAATGTATTTAAATTTCATTTTAACTATTTGCTTTGTCATGGTTAATGAATTTCCTTTCAATTGCCGAAACGTACTGCATATTTTAAAAATGTGATCACAGTATTGATGTAATATTTCTACATAAATTTAATTTAGATGAATTTTCATTAATTACAGTGCATATGAAATTAAGTGCCCTAATTCTGTTATGTATATGTTGAGCACTTAATGTTTTTCTGCATATTAACTGTTGTACACATGCATATGAAATTAAATGCCCTAATGCTGTTACATTAATTGTTCTACACATTTTTTATTTCTAAAAATGTTTTCTCTCTCTCTCTCTCTCTTTTTTTTTTTTTTTTACATTTAATTAGCACTATGAAAAATATTACTTGTGGATATTTTTGTAATATAGAGTAGACTAGTCCTGTTTTGTTTCTGTTATAAATTTATTTAAGAAATAATTGAATTACATATCTTGTAGTAGTTAAATAAACAAGAAAATGGATAAATTGTTATAGATATCTTCTCATGTTACTTTGTGTGTTCATATTTAAATAAAGTTAAAACTATGTAAACTGTTATTATTCTTTTCTCTTTCTTTTACTGTCTTGGTGTTCTTATATACAGTTGAATTTGTTTTGTCAGATGCAAAGTTGTTCTTGTTTATAATGGTACATATACACATGCGAGTGGAATATTTGAGGTATCGGCAGAATGTATGAGAGTTCTCGTTGAAATAAGAAGAGCAAGTTAATATTTTTACTTTATGTACATTATGATCATATTAAGTGCTCAGTTTTACCATGAGTGTCTGAAGAGATTGTATTAAACAAATATTGAAATATTTACAAACATTAAACATAACATTACAAACATGAATAATTTTTTACGATTTATTTATGAAGAAATTAATGTGTATTTTAAATTAAGGGCACCTAAATTCTGTTTACTATTGCTTGTAGAAAAGTATATTGTTCTTTTGCTAATGAATACTTTAGAAAATTATTCTTTTTTCTTCTAATAAAACTTTTTTTAATATTCTTTAAACTTTTTTAATTAATTAAAGAATCAAGATCTTTTTTCTTTTAATTTTCTTTTTCTAATTTATCCTAATTTTTTAATATCATCTAACAATGTATTGAAAGTTATGAAAGTAAATGGAAAATTTAATTTATTACTGATATGATACTCATAGCAAATAAGCTGTCTTTATATAAATAATTATGTAATTTTTTTAAGATTTCACTGAGCTGATTATCAGTTGACCTTTCAGTATCAGGCATATGATAAATGTTATTTTTTTTTTTTTTATTTTGTAATTATCATGAAACTTTTTGCGTTTTTCCAAACTGAGTTTTCTGAAAGACTAGGACCTCATGTCTATGATGCCAGTTTTGCATCATTTTTCTCGATGAATTGCCAAATTTTCTGGTTTGAGATTTATCTGAATTTCAGACCATCATCACTTGTTTCAGTTGCAGGTGTAGAGAAAATGTTGATCTTCAGGTATTGAAGGAAGAAGGAAATGTGGTACTTGTGTATTACTGTGACCAGTACAGTTGGCTATTTTTTACAGAAGAGAAGCGATAATGACTGATAATTGCAAAATGTTATCTACTGCATGCATACTTCTACTTTTAATTTAGTATTTATTTTAAAAACAATTAATAAACCTACTTAAAGTCCTCCCCCCCCCCAATTGTGGTGAATACTTTAAGAAGACGTTCAAAGCATTTGTTCCTTTCAACAATTTTGTGCTAAAACATGATATTCCTGAAAAAAAAAAAAAAAAAAAAAAAAAAAAAAATCTTGCAACAGTTTATTTCATTGCATGTGGATCCCACAGTTTTAAAATCAGATTTAAAACAAAAAATTTTAACACTTTTACTGAAGTGGTTGTGCTAACATGTGAGTACTGGGAATGCCATATAAAATTTTCTTGAAATATGCTAAGACAGCGACATAGTCAGTGGAATGTTTTATGAGATTGAGCATTGAGATTCATCTCTCAATGATTTTCAGCATGTTTTTATGCTTTTTCTGATTATTATTCCTTCTGAACTATTTTATCTCCTTATAAAAATGTGTAAAGCTTTTTATGAAGATTTAAGTAGCATTTAAGAGCATAAAAATTTGTATTTAATTTTACTCTAAATTTATAAAATGCTGCATTATTAAATTTATCCACTTAATATGTGCATTAATTTTATTTGTATTGTATTTAAAAGTACTTCAATAAATGAAGGCTTCTTTCCTTTGTTATAGATCTCATGAGTTGGAAGAGGGGAGTTAAAATAGCTAAAATATGAATATAACATAAAATTTAGAATAATGGATTAAATACTAATATATTTTGCATCAAATCATGTTGTAATTCATTTATGTGTTAAACCAAATCGCTCATTATAAAGGGATTAATTTGTCAATTTAGTTTTCGTTTAAAGTCACTTTTTGCAACGAGCAAAAACCTCCCCAGTCTTCATATATTAAGGCTGACAATTTTGCATATGAATAAAATTTCAGAAATAACCATAATTTAAAGATTTTCGTGTTTTTCTTTTAACCTTTCTAAAAATAAAACTACAATGAGTTCACATTTTAATAAGTGTGAATTTTAAGCATGTTGTATTTTAATTTAGACATATTTTTATCAAAAACTATATAAGGTTGGAAAGGTATATACAGCAGTTTTAAGAAAAGATGAACTAAAAGCTGTTGGGTTGGTCCTAAGTCCTGCCATTTTTGAAGTGAAAATTTTGAATGAAAAATAAAATGTTTTGGCAATGTGTTTTATATCATTCAATAAAGAGTTACGTGCTCTACAAAATAATGTGTTTAGTTTCCTTATCTGATATACTTTTTGTTCTTTTCATGTCATTAAAATGAAGTCTCACAAGTCAACCAAAAAAAGAAAAGGCATTTTCTACCCCTTCTCCTTTTCACCTTAAATTGAGGTTCCAAAGGCACAGAAGCTGCTTGAGAGATTTATGAAGTATATGGTGAAGAAGGAGTGCTTCTTAGAATACCTCAAAAATTGGTTAAGGTTTTCAAAGATGACGATTTCTACCATCATTTGCATTGGACAGCTTGGTGAAGGTTGTGAAGAAGTTGCAAAAGACCAATGGAGAATATATTACTGATTTAAAAAAAAGCTCAATCTTATGATGGCCAATGGCCAGCCCAGTATAATACAGCTGTGCTGCTATTTCAGAATTGGTAATTATACAGTATAAATTTATTAAAGGAAGTCAGATTTTCAATTGCTTAGTCTTCATTCTTTTGCAGCTAGTATTTGAATTGTACGATAAAGAAAAATATTAAATTAATTTTTACATTAGAAGGAGTTTTTGAAAGAAGATGTCTGATGTGTATGGAATTTATTATAATCAAAATACGTAAAATGTGTTTAAAAATGTTGAATTATTATAACACAACTCTTTTGCATTAATTATTTAAGAGGGGGCTATGCAGTGTTTCAAAATTGATAAAACTGTTTTAGAATACATGATTTGTTACAAAGTGCCATATATTCCAGAATATAACGTATTGATAACTTTTCATTGTAAATGTAAAATTATAATAATTTCATTTTGTTTTGTTAATTGTTCAAAGATTTTTACTGAAGATATTCAGAAGATATTAATACTGAATATTTTAAAGGTAATGTTGATTCTCCTAAACTCTGCGTATAGCATTGTCATTGATGAAACCTGGATTTGTTATGCTGTTTATTAGGCAACCAGAAATTTCTGGAACTAATACATCTAGGTGTAGAATTCCACATTTAAATGCTTTAAAATATTTATTTTATTAATAAATCATAATTTCCATACAATGCCTAATTATTTGCCATATTTCTATTTTACATAACTATTGAATGGCCTCTGATGACTGAAAGATGTTAAAATTGATGGTTGCCAAATTTTGGTCGTTTCATATATTTTAAGTAGTTTTTTCTTTGTTTTTATGTCTGTCTCTGTCATTAAATCTTAGAACCCAAAAGTAACTCAATCTAGGAAGTTGAAATTTTCAATGTAGACAGGAACGTGCTGATAATACGTTCTTTTAATATTTTTTAAACTTGTAACTATTTTGAAACCTCCATATTGGAATGATGGTATTTAATACATCCATATTGGAATATTGGACCTCCATATTTGAATGATGGATTTGATGTTAAGAAGGTATTTAGCACTTTTCTAAAATTTTAAGACTTTTGCTATGTTCCATGCATTTAACATTCACACAATTTTTACAATAAGATCTTTAATTTTTCTAATGTTGCTCTGCAGATAACTAGTTCTTAGTGTTGAAATTTGGCAAAGTATAAGATCTTTAATTTATTTTAAAATTTAGTCTACTTATAATTTCTTGATATCTTCTTATTATTACATCTTCCTGATTTAAATGCACCAATGCTTGTCCCAAACTACCACCTAATGGCCTAACGGCCAGCAGTCCTAACAACAGTCACTTTAGCCCATCCATTATGAGAAGAGCTCTGAGTAGGATTATGTACTTTGTTCAAAATTGTTTGGCTTGTTTTTTCTAGTATATCTTATAAACAAAATATTAAATGGATTTATAAATGAAACTCTATCTCTTAAAAATTTAGCTTTCATTTTGGATTCGCCATCATGAATTTTTTCCCCCCAGTATTTCAGGAACAGATTTATTTACAGTTTTCTGCATATGAAACTCTTACAGTGGCGTAGTGAGGGGGGGAAAGGGGTGTATGATGCTTCGGGCTCCTATCGCAGAAGGGCGCCAAATGGTCTCCAAACAAGATTTTCATCATATCACTGTGTTGTGTTTTTTTCGGGGGGAGAGGGGCGTCAAAAAGATATTTTATCCCGGGTGCCAGTTATGCTCGCTACTCCACTGAACTCTCATGATCTTTTCAGAAATTTAAAATACGATGTCTTATGAAATACTAATTTATTAAATGATGTATTTCAATTGACTAGACATTTCTGAGTAGATATAATATACAGTCCACTGAATACGAAGAAGGAACTTTTCACATAGATAGTAAAAGAGAATTTCAAGTGATATTTTGATTGTCATTGCTAGGACAAAAGTGAGACAGACTTTAATAAAGGCTGCTATTAAAAATTACTTGATGTAGTTATTTTAAACTTACTTAGTAGATATATATAAATTAAATTTATGTGTCCTCTGCCATTAGTAAATGCCATCTCATGTAACCTTTATAAAATTTTGTTTTGAAGATTTTCATCATTAAACTGTGGTTACCAAGAAGGCATTTGACAATTCTGTGGAATTGCTGCTAATGAGAAAGTACCTTAATTTCTTAAATATAAGGGCTTATATTGATTCTTTTGCTTCAAGTGAAAATTGTCTGGACATGATTGGTCTGAAAACAGCATTTCACTATTTTTTTTTTTTTTAACAATGAGTTGTAACATAAACGTGTGATATAATTTTATTAATTTCATTTGTTTCTGGTAAAATTAACCACCGCTGGATGTGCCGGTAATAGAAATAATGTTCATATACATCTTACCCGAAAAGCTTCTGTGGTGGAAATATTATTAGTTTGCTGTACTAGTGAGCACGAAATGCGAGACTGCTTTGAAATGATTTTTTACTTTTATGCCGTATTACCACTTCGATCCACCATAGAATCCTCCAGGCCACTTCCCAGCATGAAGCCCTCCTCCTCTTGAATTTCCTTCACGAGATCTTTCTTCCTCTTCTGTCGGAAATCGAATTCCACTTGGGCCTCCAGAACCTCTGCCACCTGTCCCTCCAGGGATTTCTTGCCTTGAGGAAGGACGGCGATTGCGTTGAGCATCTGTAATGATCATATGCAGAACCAATATCACGCATATGGTTACAAGGTAGAAGGTTTTCATGATGAAGCTGAAACAGAAAAAAATGTCAGTTTTTTTAAGTAAATATAATCATTTTAGTTAATTAATATTAATCTGATGGCCAGAAGGCATTATTAGTTGAGCATAATGACCAGAATCAGAAATTTGTAACGAGTATTCTCGTGTAAACTGCCGAGTATTCTCGTGTATTCTTGTTAAAAATATCAAAAGGATGTTTGAAATAAAAGAAATTTATAATAATGAATGAGTGCTACATAAAATCAGCATCAGTCTAAGCTTATTTTAAATTAAAAGAATGCTTAAAGATAGTTAAAGAAAAGAAGTCTTTTTATGAAATAAATCATTGCATCTAATTAAATAACATACTGAATATTTTAATATTTTTTTTACCTATTCATCAGGCTTTAATTTGTGAAAATGAAAAGGAATTTCAAGTTAATGGCAGGACTATTTTTTCATTTAAATTTATGTATTCAAACTGGACCTTCTTTTCGTTGTCTAATGTTATAGACTTCTGTTCATAAATCTTTAACGCCATTACCTCCTCTTTTTTCCCGAGGAGTAAATATCATATTTTCTTCTTTAAACGATAGGTATAGTTTGCATCCACTACCAAGAAAAATTGCTTATCTCTAACGACTTATAGTAATCTTTCATTGGACGAATTACGTTAAGTGAACTAAGTACACTGACTTCCAAAAATTATGGAACAAATAGGTTTATGTAAGATATAATTATAAAATTTCTCCCACATGTAGAGACAGCAGTAACTTAATATACTTCAGTGATTATGTGCTTAGCATTTCTGCTAAGTTAAAAAGTATTTTTCACAAATCATATGTATATAACTGCCAAAAAACTGTAATACGATATTTGTCCATATATGACATGTGAATTCAATCTTGACATCTACTTGACTAATACTATGTTCTCAATTAAGTTATTAGAAGCTTCAATTAACAGAAAAGTCCATGCAAGCCTTGATTCGAATTCAGTTCATTTTAAGTTCTTGGAGAGAGAGACCGCGCTATTATTTGCCATATTGTGTAACTGTCTACTTGTCTGTCACATGTTCAGTTGAACTGAAAAATTTGCTGATGTTTGAACATTACATTAAGTGAACTTGCTTAGCTTTTCATTGAATTACATAATCACAAGTCTCCTATGGTGACAATAAATGATCTAACAAAGGACATTGTCTGGGCAACTCATGATATTCAGAGAAATACCAGCAAATACTTAAGGTCAGTATAGGTGCCCAAAGAATCTGCTGCTCTTTGAAATGTCCCTTTTGAGAGTATTTTATTGGTTGCATGTGTTGGTTACTTTCTTCCGATTATAACAAGACATGACTCACACCATGTAGCCCCCCCCCGGATCGACGTAGAGAACTCTGTGAAGCTACTGGCTAGGATCTGTACCTAGGCAGTCTTGGTAACAGGGGTATAAAATTTATGAACTTGGTGGTTCTGAAGGCCCTGGGAAAAGTCACATATTGACTGGCCCTGGATTCTGGCATGCCCTGAGCGGCACGACTCTGGTAGCCCCCCAGTTTGCTGGGGCCCGCTGCGACGGGCTCGCCCAAGTGACTGGCAGGTGTCAGGGGGTGCACCCTCTCCTGGAGGAGTAATAGCAGAGGTTGAACCTCCACGACGTGCTCCAAAGGTGGACTGTTAATGCTGTTCAGTCTAGCGATGGCCGGGAATGCCCAAATCTGCCGCTTACACCATGTAGCATGCTTGGATTCATCTTGTGAGCGGTAAAATTTATTATTATTAAATTTATTATTTATTGCTGGAATATGATACGCAGTAAGCCGAAATATAATTTAGTTTTCTTTCTGGACGGAAATATAAATCTATCATTAGAAGGAATTGTAACCTGCACTTAATGTGATACTGCTCTTTTTGAAAGTTTAGATTCACAAGAAACCGATTCAACAGCGTATTTGGGGCACTTCTGTTAGCATTTATCTGGGTTGCTCTATCAGCATTATTTCATACAGCAAACTGCTTGCAACTTATCGAATTAGGTGAATGACGTTTCTCAGATATCCGGTCGGATGAAAAGCCTCGGATATCGAGTACGATTTTTTTTAAAGCAGCATTTATGCACACGAATATTTTAGCCTTAGCTACTTAAAATTCAAAACCTGTGTGTATATGAAAATATTAATAATGGTGCCTAATTTTTACCTTAATGGTTTTTTAATTTGCATTATTATTTTAAATATTAGCTATAATTCATGTTCATATCATTCATTTCGTTAATATTATTAAGAAGAAAAACTGCTTGTTCCTTATATTTTGAAGGGCAATTTAGTTAAGAGATCTTGCTTTCAAGCAGACAAAAGCTTCAATAGTTTTGAACATTTGATGCTTTGTAAACGAATGCAGCAAACAAAATTAATCTAAACTGATTAAATTTGAGTTTTCATGGTTTTGGGATAAAAATGCACTTGTAAAACTGTAAACCTCGCTACAGCCTGTACAGTTAGCTATATCATACAGTCAGAGTTTACTGCGAAAAAAATTAGGAAAATGCTGTAATTTTTTTCAGAAACGAGATAATTGTTACATATACTGTACATATTGTTAAATACTTGTTACATATTGTTAAAATTGTTATTAAATATTGTTAAAATTGTTACATATACTGTACATATTATAAAGAATCTGATATTTATGGATTGTATTGCGAGCAGGGTATAAAAGAGTAAAAATTTTTGAGAGAGAAATATCATGTTCTTGATTTTAAATCAGACTTTTAAAAATTTGAATTGCTTTTTTGTTCTAAAATAATTTTCTAAATAATGATTTATAGTTGGAGTTGGTACTGAGTTATCGGTTCTATTTATATTATGTCTTATTAAAACAAGTAATTAGAAAAGCCGATTGATACCACATCAAACAGGTGTTTAAGTTTTTCCGATGATTTACAAAAAAAAATCCGCTGAATGTTTGTCACCCATAAACATATTCATTCCATTTAACTCCAGATCTTGTTTCTCAGTGCCAGGGAAAATTTTAGAAAAAAACGCGCTGCGTTAGTTGTAAATAATATTACAATGACTCTCAGTTCTTATTACTTCAAGTTGTGGAGTTCTATCACCTTTGTACAGTAATTGCTTCTAAATCTTTTTCATCAAATAGATGGACTATTGAAGAGAAGTTATCGAGATGTAAACTTAGATACATCTGTTGATATAAACATTTGATCATTTGCAAACTTTTCTTATCATTCTTTTCCACAAACCAATGAACATGGTAAAGTGTTCTATTCCTAGACATGCAAATTCCTAGACATTTATCGCAGACAGTAATTTAAAAATATAAGTTAATTGAAATTATTGACATTCAAGCTACACAAAAGCAATCACATATTTATAACTGTGTTATAGGGTTTCAGACTTTTCTCTTATAGCTATGTGTGTGGAACTTCGAGAACTGGTAAGCGAGCTCAAGAAAGAAACATAAACTCAAGAAGGTTTAATTACCCTTTATTGCTCAAAATAAGGATTAACAGATGGCCCCTTTCTCAGGACGTACCGAAAAGCCTCCACTTCGGCTTGAACTCAAGAGTACTAAGAAAAATCAAACTTAACTAATGCTTAACTAAAAAGATATAGCCGAAGCTATCAAAATTCTAAAGGAGTTGGCCCCAAAATGTTAACTAAACGGCGAAGCTATCAAGGGCCTGAAATACGGCTGAGCGTAGTATAATAGCTTAGAAAGAGTGGAGCCAAAAGGAAAAATATGCGCTAGTCAGAATCCCTGGCTCTCTAACGAAGTCTGTGAAACATCGACTTAAGTACCAGTTTTCCTCATTTGCATTAACCGCGATTCTAAAAGCACACTCTGGCAGGAAATTTTAAGCTGAAATTGGAAGGGACAAGAAAGTAGCTTTAATTAAAGATAACTGTTTAAAAACTTAAGATAAACCTTACAGTGTATTGCAAAGTTGTTATCTCTGCCATTCGAAATTATTCGTACGAAAGAGAAAATACGCCAATGGATTTCAAACTGTAGGTTAACGAAACATTTAAATTATCGAATGTTAAGATAAATTTTTTAGTATGCGGTGTTGGAGTTTAAGGCAAAAAGCTAGCAGCTATTGCGATAAGATGCTTTCAGAATAAAAAGAAGCTTACGCTCCATTTATATAATAGCCAGAAATACTTTCTTCTCATGAAATGTGACACGAAGTTTTCGTAAAGGTCCACTACATGCTTAATTTTAAAGAATTCTTGTCATACATTCTTAATTACCTATTTTATAAATGTAATTCTCTTCAATCTTATTTTTATCCAAAATAACTTTTTCCCGTTGCCCTGCAATATCTTCCGACTGTTTTGCTTAATGGTAATGCATTTTAAATGTCTTATTGCATAGAAATAAACATGCATGAATTAAAAAAATGAGAAATTAAATAAAAGTAATTTACCTCGGGTATCGGTCCCGAATGGCCTAGCGATAAGACGTATGAACATTATATCCCGACAACAACAAACGACGACTGGCTGCATAAGCTAGTCGTTTTCTACGAGTTCGATACATATATAGCAAGTATATGCACATAAGATATGCGAAAAAAATGTCTATAAGAAAACGTAGCTTGATGTAGCAATTATTAATATAATATACTTGATCTGATTAATAGTTAATTGGAAGGAAAACAACAGTGATATGGTGTATGTTATCGAGGAAGGAAGAAACTCTGTTGTAATCCTAACTCCATGGTATATAACGACAAATTTGTGGTTGTCATGGCAACCTATTCATAGTCTACAATATTTATTTGAATCACATATGCACTAGTCAGCAATATACAGTAGAAATAAAAGAGAAAAAAAGAAGTGTCCTCGGTAGTGTGATGGTGAGTAATCCCCGCTTGTCGCGCGAGAGACTAGAGAGGCATGTACTACCTGCTTAGGAAACCGGACATGTTCATTATTTTCAGTAATTTTAGTACTAAATACGAAGCCCGAGGTTCGATCCTCGGGCTGGGCAAGGTCGACTCAGCCTTTCATCACTTGAGTGGGTCAATAAAATGAGTACCAAGTTCGCTTGGGGACTAAACACTGTTGGTCTTACGACAAACTGACCACTTGTTTAGGGCTGAAGGCCCATTTTCACTGCTGCGTATGCGTTTCTCCAATCAGCGAGCGACTTCACTCGATTGACATCTGCAATCCGGTCGGTATGCGGTGACGGATGAATTATCAACTAGTCCAACTTCTATCCGTATGTCTGCCGATGCGTTGGGGTAACGTGGTAAAAAAGGAGCAATCAGGTGTCACCAAAAATTAATGGCGGCAGAAGGCAATTTACGAACGCTGGCTTCGGGAAAGAATGTTTTGCTAAGAAATACTTATTTCTAAATTAACGTTATAACGAGAAATATGCGTACTGAAAAGGACAGTAATCAGCTGAATTTAGTTAAAAAAAAGATAACTGCAAATACTAGTTCAGAGTAGTACAGTACTAGTTCGCAGAGAGCAGTGATTACTGTCAAGAAAATCACGCGCAAATATATAATTCCAAGTCCATGAAATAGCAAAATTTGTCCTGACAATTATTTCCTAGTTCTGCATGCACATTTACTTTTAATGAAAAAGAACATCTAACTATATCACACTGCTATAGCAAATCAGATATGGCATTAAAAGATTTGTTATTTTTTTCTTTTGAAACGAGTAAAAACTAAAAACGTTAATTATAAATTAAAATTTGATAGCCTTTTAAATATTCCATTTCATTAAATAGTATGTTAAATTTGTATTTCTATATTTATAAATATACCTTTTTTGGCTAATGTAGTGTCGCTTCTCTTCCGTCAAGTTTCTAATTTAGTTAAAATGGAATGGCAACACTTTCTAGTCTCCGCGAAAAAACGAAGTAAGCAAAAGTCGGTATTCTATCATGCGATTTGATGTGCACGTAAAATGTAACTAAATATTATAAGTATATAAAATGTATTGTAAGGAATAAAATATTGATTCTATTGGAGTCAGAGATGTGTTATTTTCCTATATTTGCATACGAGACACTTCATTGTTGTATCCTGGCGTGATCGAATTCTACAATGGCTGACGACGAGGAAACCGAAATTAAAGCAACAACTGTGTCTGTCACCAAGGTAAGCGTTTAAGTTCCTCCTTTTTGGAAGCCAGATTCTAAAATATAGTTTATTCAACTAGAAGCACAATTTAGAAATGCAAAAATAAATGTATATCAAACAAAATATGATTATGTTATAAGTTCCATTGAACCCAATATTTTGTCACAAGTGTCTGATATTTTGCTAATTCCGCCACAAGATAATAAATATCAGGCAATTAAAAATAGACTAATTTCATTATATGCAGATTCTGAGACTCGGAAAACCCAAAAATTAGAGTGAATTAGAACTGGGTGACAAAATGCCATCTCAATTGCTGAGTCCCCAAATTTGGGTATATTTTAAAATTATACAATTTCACGTGGCAATTAGCGGTATACAAGCATAGCAAATTTTGTGTAAATATTATGAACCTTTCTTTGCAGTTGCTATGTATAAAGTACCAACTATTTTTTAATTCGTTTAAACTTTTTTATTTATTTATTTTTTCAGTAACAGTACATTTTAGTTTTTAATAATAATATATTTTTCATTAATATTCAAGGCTTCTAGAAACGCGAAGAAATTTTTAAAATTTACTTCAGCTTCTATGCAATTAGTGATGTTCATAATATGCAACTTACTTATCTAAAACTTACTTAACCTTATTTATCTAAAAATTGCTAGCGTACTTTACTTTCACAGTTCATAAGCAGAAATAAAAAGTACCAATAACATGGGATTATCAAATCAAGAAAGCACATTTCGGGCACTGCAGGCCTTAGCCCACTAGGGCTATTGCGCCGCTGAGTTTAGTTTATTTTAGTACTAAATTCATACATATTTTATGAAATTTATTTTTATTCCTAAATTTGTTTTTAAAGAGTAATTGTTTCATCACTTGTTATAATTTTAAGGAATGCAAATTCCTTAAAAGTTTAATTCCTTAAAAATATTTTCGATATTTCGCGTAAATTAGGTATGTAAGCTAATGTAAAATGCTTTCACGAATTACTTTTTTCCCGTGGATAATTTTCTAATTCTTATTAGAAAATTAAGTTACTTTTCATATAGTATAAATAATTTTAATACCACATTTCTGTCTGCGAAGATGATTAGCATGATGAATATGAATTTCATTTATACACTCGAATAGAAAAATATTTAAGCACTTATTTATTGGACTAAAATTTATTGACACCTTATTAGTCTCGACACGGCATTTTGCGTCGAATCAACTAAAAGGCGCTGAATCACTTTTCAAATTGTTGCCACCATATATTATCGTCCTATATTATATTTAAAGAAATTAAATAATAAAGAATCTGCATGAATGTATGCATGTTTCTGATACTGCGAAAAAACAACGGTTCTTAGAGCCATCAAATTTTGAAAAACATCCACCTGGAGATGAGCTCTGGGGAGACCGAACTTGAAATTTGGGTACTATTCTGTTTTGAGGGCCGTAAGAAAATTGCAGCGAAAATGTATGCGCCAAATCTAGCAAATGCGCCCATTTTACAACGCGTCAAATCTAGCGTACGCGTTTGATTTCAGATTGTGTAAGTTTATATAGTTCTATATTTCTTAAGACGCCATTGAAATACTAGTTTAATTTTTAAATCCTTTTTTTGATATCCTATGGATTTAACAATTTGGGAATTGCCCATGACGAAAAGTCGGCAATATAATTTTGCGTAAAGTGCAGAATCACCCACTGCTTGACGCGTTATTAAGAATTGCACATACTCGGTATCCATATGCACATCGACCTATTTTAACTTCAAAAAAAAAAAAAAAATCCTAGAATTGCACAAAAGGGCACTGCCACACCCTTGACTTTATCTATGTACACATCGACCTATTTTCACTTAAAAAGTAAAAGAAAATTGGACAAAATCCGATTTTTTAACCCTTGTAAAGGCGGCAAACAAATAAGTGAGCGATTCTGCACTTTATACCGAGAATATTGTCAAAGGAAAGGCATCATTCATTATAGGAATTACGTTTGAACAACCAACGAGATGAAATTATGCTTTAGCGATAAGTCGGTAGCGAAATATCGATGCAGGCATCCATTCAGTTTATGTTTAGCAATTTTTATGTAAATTATAATAATGATCTGAAATAGCTAATTACTCTTGCTTCCATTCAGTCATGTTTAGTCTTTTTCATATAAATTATAATAATAAAAATGTATTATATGAAATTAACCTTTCATCTAAATTAAAATATCAATCTTGAATAGTTATTTGCTATTATACTTCCTTTCTTGCCGCAATTATTAGAGTTACCGCAATTCTTTTTGGCAGCATTGGCATCAACGATAATTTGGCGATTTTTTACGGCCTTCGAAACAGAATAGTACCGAAATTTGTTTTATTCTCTGTTTCATATTTTGTAAAACTTTAACAAACTCAACGATTGCAAAGGAAGCAGTGGCAATACTGAACGGGGGAAAAAAATATGGCTAATCTTTGGAATATGGTAACAGGTAGTTTGGCGACATTTTGGTAAGGCGATAAATGTTACTAGCTAGGACTTTAGCAGTGTACATGGATAAGTCAAGAGTGTGCGCAATGCCATTTTTGTGCAATTCTGGGATGTTTTTTTAAGTGAAAATAGGTCGACGTGTACATGGATACCATGTATGTGCAATTCTTAAAAACGCGACAAACAGTTTGCGATTCTGCACTTTCTCCCAATTTCGCACCTAATCTTCGTCATGATTAAGCACTTTTGTACCATAAAAGTTCTAGCATAAGCGTTATTCGGCTAGCAGATTGTTGGGAAAAAAATGTTGATTTAAAAAAAAAAAAAAAAAAAAGTGCCTTTACTTTGTGAAAACAAAATGGCGTCCAAACAAAAACTAGCAGGTTGCTGTAGCAGGGTTGGTTGCCAAATTTTCGCCAAAGATCGGCAAGTTACCATAATTACCAAAGATTAACCAAAAATATCTCCAGCCTGCGAGGCTATCTATTTGAAATTCTGAAGATATGCTTTTTTTTAAATATTTTTAGCCCAAAGGGAAATTACCCCAAATGCTCTCGAAACGTGCACGTGTGTAAATGGAAAGGGAAAAAAAATCCGCTCTTTTCGGGGTAATATAAGATCTGAAGGCTTTCAGATTTCTTTTATTTAATTAAGGCAGAGCACTCGTGGGCTATCTGCCTAAGAAATGGAATGCCTTCGTTCAAGGCTTTCTGAGGGAAACTGGCTCGTATACACGTTAGACACGGTGAAAATCACGAAAACATACATGCACAGCCTATCTGTCCGCCCGAATTCGAGCCCCAGATCGAACAATCAGTCATCAGAGGCTTTACCACTCGGCCGCTGATATGAGCACTAATATAATGAAATAAAAATCTTCAAAAATTATGATTCTATGAGATACATAAGATTCGTAATCTGGGGGGGGGCATTAGAAATTTAATAAGCGTTATTATAATTTTATTAATTATGATAATCCTGAAAATTTCTGTTGAATACATTGCACACTAAATGTAATTTTAAATTATAGAAGTCAGATATATTATCAAAACTAAAATAATGATTTAAATTATAAAAAAAAAAACAAGAATTTATTACAATTAAATCTTTCAGCTTCTTAACGAATTACAGATTGATTAAAATTAGGGGAAAAAAAGGTGAAAAATCTTCTGCTTTGGCGATTAGCAAGACTTAAAAGAACTAGCCATTTGCAAGATTACATGAAAAATAAAATAAACGTCAATGAACTTCGTACGTTATTCTGAACCACCTTGAAACTGAATGAAAAAGTATTCAGCGACTTAAAGCATGTTTAGAGTTTGATACTTTGTTTTCGCAAGATAAATTACAGGCCCTTTGTTAAAATTTTCATAGCTCATTATTTTAAAAACTGAGAAGTACTAGAGTCAGTTCCGGCGCAATTTAAGTTCTACTCGGAACCTCTCTTCATCTTCCCTGTGCTCGTATCTTCTGCCCCATTTTGCTGTTAGCAGTTAAGTTACGCTGTTTTTTAACTGTTTCTATTGGCTCTTTCACTATGATATTTTTGAAGAAGACTATGAACTCCTATTTGGATTATGCTCGTTTATAGTTTCGTGAGAAGAATGAGGTCAGCTTTTTATTTACCTATTAAGTGTTTAATTTTAGCTTATTATAAGAATACTTTTGTTCAAATTTTGTTATTATCAACATTTTACTATAGCTTTTCTTGTTTAATTTATAAAACACAAAAAATAAATCTAAATTTAAATAAATGTATATATTTTTTTCGACTTTTATAAAGGAGAATGGAGGAAGGAATAATGGTTCAGCAATAGTTAAATGTGTGCTTCGGACAAAAAAAGTTTAAGAACCCCTGTAATTACCTTATCATGACCTTTTTTAATACTTTACCTAAATAGCATTTGTCATTCTATAGAATGCCTAGGTACTATATGCAATATCTAGGGAACGTACGTAATAACTCTCATATTTCAAACTTTGCTAGAAACACTTAGCATTTTATAAAATGCCTAGGTACTATATACATCACCTAGGGAAAGTTCATAATAATTCTCATATTTCACAATTTGCCTAAAAACACCAAGTATTCTATATAATGCGTAGGTATCCTACAGCATGCCGGAGTTTCATACATTGCCGGTACCATATACACTTCAGACAGAATGCACAAACATATAAAGGATAGACAAACAAGACTCGTTCTAATACATAAGAAAGCTTATTTAAAGAGCTTATTCAAAGTTTGCATTACAAGCGCGGAGAGAATGACAAATGCAGAGGTTGTTTATAATTTAAAAGTAACAAGGTACTAAGACATATGACGATTACTGTCAAGAGTTTTATCTTTTTCCATATACTCTTTGTGGATAAGACCATTGCAATCCACCAGATATGAAGCATGATCTTTTTGTTAGTCAAATTGTGCTTTGCGACGACGGGCTCATTAAGCGCAGACCAGCCGCCTTTTTAGGCTGTGTTGTTGAAGTAAATCCACTTTTCATCACAAGTATTGATTGTAACGAATGTTTTCCGCCAAAAAACGT